TTTAGTCTTTCTGTGTGTTGTTCCAGGAAATAAAAACCTCACAGGGACTCAGGCCTTCTCGCCCCCTTGAGCTTTGGTCTGGGGAAAAGCACTCAACGGGGGATGTCTCTGCCTGTGTTTCCTTATTTCAAGAACCCAAATGCCTTTGTTTCTCTAGGTCTGGTTGATTTTTCTTTACCCAGGGTGTCTCTGTAGGTGTCTGGCCAGGTTTGGAACCAGACGCCCACTGAGGGTTTATTTCTTGACCCTTCTTTGGCTCCTATGTAGAATCAACAAGAGCGCAGTGGGTCCTTACAAGAAGTCACCCTGACCCCGGCAATGAGACCGCAATGGCTCCAGAGAGGAGCAGAGCTGAGTCACGCGCCGGCACCCACCACTAGTCTTCTGTCCTTACCACCTTTGCTCCTTCCTTGTTCATAGGTGCACACCATTGCCTAGAAAGCAGTGTCCATGTGAGTACTGCGTTCCACAGGGTTTCTTGTGGCTAGAGGCAGCCATATGACCAAGAAACATAAGCAGAAGTATTGTGGGTTCCTGCACTTCCTCTGCCTTGGTAATAAAGGCCTTGTTCTCTTGCTTCTCCTTGGGACTTGGAGGCTGGAGGCTGCTCTCAAAGAATGTTGAGTAGAAAGAAAGGGAAACAGGACTGAAGGTGCTGGTCTCAGCCCCAAACAGACTCAGGACCTCCCTTCGTCATGTCCAAATTGTTCCTTTGTTTGCCAAGCCACTGTAGCGAATGATCTCTCCTGAGGTGTTGCTAACAATATCAGTGTGCTGTGCTGGGCTGAAGGGGAGCAATCCCCACGTGCCACAGGGAATTTTAGAGCAGTTGTAACAGACGTGGAGAAGTCAACCATGGCAGTGCAAAGGATACTTTCTGAGCTGAGAAACTGACACGATTTACCTTAGCTGAGACCTCGACGTTGACTTCACAGAGCCTGGAGATAAGGGGCCTCCTGGAGAGGGGCAGAGTATGGTCTGAAGAAGAATCCACCCGACTCTGGAACCTACACAGAGACAAACAGGACAGCTAGTGGGGCCAGAGAAAGCCTGAGACCACCAGAGCTGCAGAGACTGCACACTGCAGAAAATGCACTCTACCACCATATAGAGCTGCAGACTGCACACTGTGGAGAATGCACGCCATCACTATATGGAGCTGCAGAGACTGCACATCATCACTATTGCGGAAGGCTGCTCGTTCATTTCCAGCTGCCCAGAACTGAAATAATCACTCAGAAACTATATTATTTAAATCATTGCTTGGCCAATCACTTACGTGTATTACTAGCTAGTTCTTCTATCTTAATTAATCCATTTCTATTATTTTATATTTTACCATGAAGCTCGTGGCCTACCGGCAAGGTTCTTGCTGATAGCTTGCATATTTCTCCTCTGGTGGCTACATGGTGTCTCATTGATTCTGCTCTCTCTCTCTCTCTTCCAGCCTGGCTATATTCTGTTAAGTAATTGGCCGAAAGCAGCTTCTTTATTAACCAATAAAAGCAACACATATGCAGAAGGACTTTCCACATCCCATCACCATAAAGAGCTGCAGAGACTGGACACTGCGGAGATGATACACCACCACCACCTAGAGCTGCTCAACAGGTCAGATTGCATTGATTTAAACAGTGCCAAACATTCATTTGTGATATGCTGCCAAATGCAATGGGTGAGCAAAACAAAAGAATAGTTTTCCTCCTTTCTTTCTTTCTTTCTTTCTTTCTTTCTTTCTTTTTTTCTTTCCTTCCTTCCTTCCTTTCTTCCTTCCTTCCTTCCTTCTTTCTTTCTTTCTTTCTTTCTTTCTTTCTTTCTTTCTTTCTTTCTCTCTTTCTCTTTCTTTCTTTTTAGAAAAGAAAAATGTTCAACTTTCTCCTGATCTCCCAATCCTAGCCTGTGTTTAATGCTACCATTCAGCTTGCTGCCCATGAAGTTATGTTCTTCCCAGGCACCCTCTGACTGACAGCGGCTCCTTTTAAGATTTCTCAAAGCCTTATTTCTAGAGGGGCTACGATTGGCATAGCAGGACTTTAGACATAACTGTAGGACATCTCTTTCTCCTCCACATTTCACCAGTGTGTCCTGCTGCAGTCATTACCCGACAGAGCGTCCCCACTGGTGAGGTTGTGGAGCACATTCCGTCTGCTCAGGACTCCTCCCTCCCTGCTCAGTAACAGAGTGCCTTACTATAGATCAGTAATAGAGTGTTACTATATATAGATTAGTAATAGAGTGCCTTACTATAGATCAGAAATAGAGTGCCTGACTATAGATAGATCAGTAATGGAGTGCCTTACTATAGACCAGTAACGGAGTGTCTTACTATAGATCAGTAATAAAGTGCCTTCCTATAGATCAGTAATAGAGTGCCTTACTATAGATCAGTAACAGAGTGTCTTACTATATAGATCAGTAACAGAGTGCCTGACTATAGATCAGAAATAGAGTGCCTGACTATAGATAGATCAGTAATGGAGTGCCTTACTATAGATCAGTAACAGAGTGTCTTACTATAGATCAGTAATAGAGTGCCTGACTATAGATCAGAAATAGAGTGCCTGACTATAGATAGATCAGTAATGGAGTGCCTTACTATAGACCAGTAACGGAGTGTCTTACTATAGATCAGTAATAAAGTGCCTTCCTATAGATCAGTAATAGAGTGCCTTACTATAGATCAGTAACAGAGTGTCTTACTATATAGATCAGTAACAGAGTGCCTGACTATAGATCAGAAATAGAGTGCCTGACTATAGATAGATCAGTAATGGAGTGCCTTACTATAGATCAGTAACAGAGTGTCTTACTATAGATCAGTAATAGAGTGCCTGACTATAGATCAGAAATAGAGTGCCTGACTATAGATAGATCAGTAATGGAGTGCCTTACTATAGACCAGTAACGGAGTGTCTTACTATAGATCAGTAATAAAGTGCCTTCCTATAGATCAGTAATAGAGTGCCTTACTATAGATCAGTAACAGAGTGTCTTACTATAGAGATCAGTAACAGAGTGCCTGACTATAGATCAGAAATAGAGTGCCTGACTATAGATAGATCAGTAATGGAGTGCCTTACTATAGACCAGTAACGGAGTGTCTTACTATAGATCAGTAATAAAGTGCCTTCCTATAGATCAGTAATAGAGTGCCTTACTATAGATCAGTAACAGAGTGTCTTACTATAGATCAGTAATAGAGTGCCTGACTATAGATCAGAAATAGAGTGCCTGACTATAGATAGATCAGTAATGGAGTGCCTTACTTTAGATCCACACTGCATACAGATCCCTCACATCTTTGGAATATTGTTACACGATGCCAGGCTTATTTTTAATAAAAACACTTGTTCCAGGCGGATGATTCATTCTGGGGATGTCAAGACGCCTGATCAGTTGTGCCCAGCTTTCAGTGGGGCAACTATCTCAGGCAGGAGAGGATCAAGGAAGTAAAAGTATTGATCAACTCTGGCTGCTGGGAGCCAGGGCTGAGGAAACAGTCTGTTTCCTGTTTGGGGAAGTCAGAACAATACAAGGAAGGGCAAGCACTTTGTCAGGTACTTCCCAGCATCATTCTAAACCAGGGCCATTGCTGCCTTTTGCTAAAGAAGGGACTTGATTGGGGGAGGGAGAGGGAAAGGGGAGGCGGCGGTGGGGAAGAGACAGAAATCTTTAATAAATAAATAAATAAATAAACAAACAAATAAATAAATAAATAGATCAAAAAAAAAAAAAAAAAGAAGTGATTCATGACATCCTTGCCCCGTAAGGGAGGTTAGGACTTCCTCTTACTGGGCAAACAGAGGAGACTGGACTCAGGCCTGCAGATAGGCGTCTAGCAGAACCCAAGGTCACATCTTCTGTGTCCTGACAGTCCACCCACACAGTCCCCTACCACTCCACTCCTGAACCTTCCGTGAGGAAGAGAGCTCGAGCCTCTGCTGCACAGCTGAAGGGGAAGCAAAGCGAATCGGGCATTTGTCACCTCCTAACTCTCCTTAACTTCCCATCAGCTGGCCACACTCCCGCCTTTCCTGACTCTCACGGATGCTCAGGGGCATCTGAAGCACAGCAGCCTGTACAGTTGGCTAAACTGCTTCCTGGAAGAGGTCTGAGTCAGCCATGTGATGGTGGCGCATGTCTTTAATCCCAGCACTCAGGAGGCAGAGGTAGGCAGATATCTTTGAGTTCAAGGCCAGCCTGGTCTAAACAGTGAGTCTCAAAATATCCAGGACTACATAATGAGACCCTGTCTTGAAAAATGAAAATAAATAAAAGAGGTCTGAGCCAATGTCCCACTTCCTTGGTTGCAAGTCATCTGTAGGACCATCTCTCCAGGAAAACGTCCCTGTGCTGTTGAAGCATTCTTGTGGAAACCAGGTTCCTGCCATGCATATCGTCTAAGCCCCTAGCCTTCTTTCGCAGGTTCCCTTCTTTCAAAGACTCCCTTCCCTCCGCTCACCCTTCTGATTGATCTTCCTGCAGGGCTCACTTACACAGGCAGACCCTCCCTTCAGCCGTCCACACACCTACCACGGTGAAGGAGGTTCATGGAAGTATGGAAATAGACTTTGTTCTCTCATATCCCCAAAGCTAGGTCTAAAACTGGGTGATAGAACCCAAAGAAAAAAGGGGAGGTAACAAAAGTGACCTGAGGGAAGATGGCCTTTTCTGCCCATGTTCATGCAGATAGAGACACCTGCAGCCTCAGGGTAAGGTTCTCCTAGGCCAAGGCTGACATATGCAGTTCTTAGCCCAACTGCACTCATTCTTATCATAGGAAGCACACATGAAACCTGTTTTTTTATGGTTCAAGAGGATCAAGTGCCAGTGCCATTTTTATTATTTATTACTTATTGATTTAGCCTCTCTCTAGGCTCCTCTTCATATTCTTCCATAGCCCAGGATATATCTTGCCATGCATGTCAGAGCCTCTGTGCTTACCAATCAGTTCAAGGTTCTTTACCCAAGTCAGACAAAAATCACAAAGAGGCGAGCGGTACCCAGGGAACACGACTTTATTGGGAGTCTATGGTGAAGCCCAGGGAGACAGCACACAGGCAAGGTTTCTGCATTGGCGCCCTCAGATTTCTGACTCCTTGGAGTCTCTGCCATGTCCTGTCTGCCTTCGGATCTGTTGCAAGGTTTGCATTTGCATGGTGATCTGCTTGCATACATTTGTTCCAAATGACAAATGTTCCAAAAGACGAAAGAGGCACTAGATGCCCCCTCATCCCAGAAAGGACATATGGTTCAAAGATAGTCACTGTGCACATGTGATCATTGCAGCAAAGTCTCTCAAAAGCTTGGAAGTACATCAGTGCTTAGAACACGGTTCTAGAGCACAGCCAATGAAAACACCTTTCATCTGTGCTTAGAACACGGTTATAGAATACAGCCTATGAACATACCTTACATCAGTGCTTAGAACATGGTTCTAGAGCACAGCCTATGAAAACATCTTACATCGTGGAAGAAAACCCTAACTGATGGTCTGGGCCTCTCTAGTCTGTCTTGTTGTCATTTTCTACCCATTACACGGGGCAGGCATCTTGTAATCATAATGTCTGTCCCTGTTTATGGATAAGGATGAAACTTAAGAAATATATAATCATTTGGTCCATGGCTGTCCCTGGCTTGGTTCAACACTGATGACCTTGGCTAGGCAGCTGTGTAACTTACATGAAAGAAAGAGTCAGGCAATGGCAAAGAGCTATGGTTGTATCAGAGATTAAACACAGAACATAAAAATGTGGTATCAGTGGGACAGAAAGTCCCCTGTCAGGGCACTGTGCTATGGGCTAAGTGTAAGGGGGACCACCCATGTGTCAGAAAGAAACGACATAGCTGGACACAGAATGTAGCTGGGTCCCCTGAACTGAGGCCTCACCCCATTGCCACACTTGACTGTCTGACCTAAGGACTGGAAAGTTCTCTTTGGAGACAGAGGAAGCAGATAACAAGGGCTGGACACAGGGTACAGCTGCTGATCGAATGTCCTTGTGGTGTTTGAATGAGAATGACCACCATAGGCTCATAGATTTGAGTGCTTGGTCACCAGGAGTGGCACTGTTTGAAAGGCTTAGGAGGTGTGGCCTTGTTGGAGGAAGTCTGTCACTGGGAGCGGGTTTTGAGGTTTCAAAAAGCCCATTCCAAACCCAGAGTCTCCCTCAAACTGCTGTCTGTGGATCTGGATGTAAACTCCCAGCTCCTCCTCCAGCTCTATGTCTGCTTCCTGCCATGCTCCCAGCCATGACGATAATGGACTAAGCCTCTGAAACCATAAGCCAGTCCCAATAAACGCTTTCTTTTATAGGAGTTGCCATGGTCATGGTGTCTCTTCACAGCAAGAGAACACTGACTAAGACACTCCTGCGTATGGTCGTCCTGCACTCGTCAGGATGCCCTCCCTATCAGGTACCTACAGGTCTCTCAGAAGCCATCAGGATCTGGGACAACCTTTCAGCCAGGACTCCTCGAGGGATTCCTCCTCAGAGCCTTGCTCTGTGGTTAAACTGCTTTGCTGGGAACATTTGGAAGTTTTGTGGTGTAACAGTGGCCCTCGTTTTCCCACAAGACCAAGTCTATTTTCTCCTTAAGGTCCTCCAGTTGAGCCTTCTGCTCATCCCCTTGTGCCTTGTTGTTGAAGCCGCAGTGTCGCCTCTCACAAGCAACATGCAGATCATCCAGGCTCTTATTGTTGTTCTCTTGAACATATTCCTCCAAGGAGCCCCCAGCCAGGTCTTCCTTCCGAGTGAATACCAGAATGGTGTAAGCCAGGATCCCTTCTCCAAAGATCTCCTGGAGGCGCCTGGCAGCTTGCTGGTCTTCTGCCGTGTACCGGCCCACCTGTATCACCAGGAGCACCACATGGGGCCCTGGAGAGGCCAAGACTTCACAGATCTTCTCAGCTGCCACTTCAGGCTGATACTGAGGTGACAAAATGTCCGGGGTGTCGATCACCTCAACCTCCTTTCCATCCCACTCTCTACTCCCTTTCTGGAAGGTCAAGGTCACTGGTCTAGAGCTGATTTTGGACTCAAATTCTTGCCTGCCAAGAATGCTGTTTCCTGTTGCACTTTTCCCACTTCCTGTTTTCCCCACCAGAAGGAGCTGCAGTTTCTTTGGGGTGAGCTCTTTCTCCTTCAGACCTAGAAGAATTTGACAAAGCAAACCATCAGAGGGAAATAGGACAGAACCTACCCTCTCTGCTTATCAGAAGTTATAACCCCCTGCACATCTGAAAAACAGAGTTCCAGGATGAGGAGCTTGCAGAGACATAGGCCAGCATCTGACCCTGAGTCTTCCCTGGGCTTACATTTTCAGCCTGGGACCTGGAAGACAGAGGTGAACATCCTACAAAGAAGGACATCAGAGCCACCAGCTGAGAAGGGAGACTCATATGTCAACTGAACACTGGCTAATCCAGTGCTAAAAATTTTAAATATGCCTGAGGCTGGGGACTGGGAAGGAAATCCCCTTCTCCCAGCCCTGCAGGTCCTAGGACCCAAACCACATACAGTGACACATGACAATTTCCAAGTGTGGTCCCCATGGGAGACACTGATGGGTCTCAGATCACAGAGCGCTAACCCTACCAAAAACTGCTAGGTTCTGCCTTCAAACCTCAGCACCCACTGGTTTCGCTTCTGCACATCTGCACCCTAGGCTGAACTGCAGTCATCTTGGCTCTCCTGAGCTTTTCCAAAGAGAATAGAGAGAACTTGAGTGGATACACGGAAGTTTCGATTAAGCACGGACGTTGGATGTCCATTCCTGCCTGCCTAGCTAGGGCCAGAGATGAACTCTTTTCAGCAGCTGGAGCTCAAACGGAAAAGCTAAATGCACTGTGAGATGCAGAGAGGGGACTTTTCAAATAATGACACTAGCTTTGCTTCCCGTAAGAAGTGAAAAAGGCTTAGCCTGTGTTGGTGACTTTCCCATGTGGTAGAATAACTGGGCTGTTTTTCCCTGATGGTCCTGGCCCTTCGAATAAATAAGGAAAAATATCATTCATGTTAAAATGCAATGAGTCACAAATAATTTCTTCTAGAAAGAAAACACGGGTAGGTTTCTAGCATCCCCAAATGCCCTCTCCTTAGGTTAGGTGGCGAAGGTGAATCTCTGAGAAGACGGAGCCCAGTCCCTCCCAGTGGCCACTGGTGACACTCTGCTTGCTTGCATGACACTGTCAACCCATGTGACACATCGGACACAGCTGACCACACACAAGGACTGCTGACGTCCAGAGCTGGGAGCAGTCTTCTTATCACGTCCAGATCTGCAAGTCCTTCTCAGGGAGGAGCTTAGATATGAAGGCTCCTTTCCTTGGAACTGGCATTTGTCACCCCTAAGGCCATCCACCTGGCAGGGGTCCCTTTCCTTGGTTTTCCCTGGTGTAAAGAGGAGCCCTCTTGCTCTATTTGGCTATAGTGGGTAAATCTATGTAACGAGGGCCTTCAGCTGCCCCTGCCAGCACTCAGGGTGTGGGCTCGCGTCCATCTGCACACCAGTGTTCCCATCCACGCCTCCCAGTTCTCCTCCGCTAGGAAAGCAGAGTACCTTTTGTCAGCTCTTGATCGGAGTCCAGGGGCGAATGCCTTGTGGGGTCCTTCTGGGGACCGAGTTCACATTCTTCTTCTTCCACCTACAGAAAACAACAATACATTTAAATACATGTAAATAACATTTGTGCGTGAGTGTGTGCGTGCGTGTGGTCGTGAACACTTGCATGCACAGGCAGGCAGTTATGTGCCTTGTGCACATGGAGAGGTTAGAGGACAACGCTCTCCTCCCCCGTGGGTTCCAGGAATCAAACTCAGGAGTTAAGTTCTCATGGCAAGCCCTGTTATCCATTGAACCATGTCTCCAGCCTATAAACTTTAACTGATTGTGTTTGAAGGGACGCTTGTCTTTTCCACGTGGGGGTGCGTGCGTGCATGTGTGTGTGTGTGTGTGTGTGTGTGTGTGTGTGCTTGATAAGGAGTGGGAAAGAGTATGGGGTAAGTAAATATTGGGTAAGTATGGGGTAAGGAGTATGGGGCACTTTCTGGGGGCTTTTGGAACCCAACCCCCCAAAGTTGTGTCCTCCACCATGAGTGTAAGAGATTATTCGTCATGGAGAAAGGAGCCACTGAATTGGTTTGGGCAGACAGTGTCCATAACTCTGTACTGAGGGCCCGGGGTGGGGAATGGGATCAGGAGGAGAAGAATGGTAAGGAAGAGGGAGAAAGAGGTAGCATGGTCTTGATTTTGTCTCAGACCATGTAAGATCTACATGGGCAGGGTCAGGAAGTTCTGGCGAGGGTGCAACTTTGGGTCTTTAGTCCAGAAAGAACCATCTAGGCTTTAGCACTGAGAACTGGCATGGCTGAAAGCTGGTGGCTGTGTTCAGTAGTGGCAAGGAAGGTGGCAGCCATGGGGACCTTCACAGTGCAAGACAGAGCCCTGGGGTGAACTGAGCACCTCAGTGTGCAACGGAGACACCATCATTGGCTAGGATGCTCACATTCCTGGTCCTCAGTATCCTTTCAGGGTGAATTTTCGGGCTAAATCTAAAGAGACCTCCTAACTGTCTAGTCACAGTTACCGATCACCTTTAGCTCTCTTTGCACATTAGAGCCGGGGCATCCCAACCAGGAGCTGCCAACACTGCTCTGATGCTTCCTCACTTCCTGGGCCAGTACCATCTCTGCCTCAAGAGCCTGCAGTGCTGTTATTAGGTTGATTATTAGATTCCTGACAGGGTTTGGAAGTCATGATCCATGACTTTCTTAGGACCCTCACAGCCAGACTAGACAATCTGGACAAAGGCTCTGGGGTGGGAAGCCCCAGTGCGGACCTGGACTTGCTGTCACCGCACTGTTGGGTGCTCTGCTCTATTCAACCAGCAGATTGCCCTGTCTCCTCTGAATCCCGGAAAAAGCCCGTGGGAGCCACTGAAGACACAGCTTTGCGATGCTCAGCAAATGGCTAGCTTAATGTGGATGGGTTAACACGTGGATGCAGGTACCTGAAGAAAGTCTGGTGGCTCCCAAGGAAGCAGGCCAGGTCGATGGCCTCATTCAGCTCTGGTCAGCCGCCTCCTGGCTTGAGCAGCGTTCCCACTGCCTTGGCTGCCTCTGTGTCCCCTGCTCTGTGACCCGGAGGTCTACAAGTTACAGACCCTTCAATCTTTGAAGTGTGTCTTCACTGATCCTCATTGGTTCTTTGGAGAACAGTGAACGGACAGGAAACAGTTCCCAACAGATGAAACTGGAGGGTGCAGAGCCCAGGAACCACCCAGGGCGACAGTTACTTACGTAGCCCTGTGTCCACGGCACTGTCAAAGGAGGGAGGCCGTGCCCTCCGAGTCTTCCCGGCCCTCCCCAGACAGTGCCACACACACGCAGGGTACACTTTGAATTTTTATCTCCAGCCCAGATGACAGAGCCATTATCATCACCCTGGTTATACTGCTCAGAAAGAGAGTGTAATTTATAAAGTGCCCCAGGGGCCCTTGCCCACTGTGGGGTGGCAGACATGGCTCAGAGGTAGAGCACTGCAGGGAGTGTGCAAGACCCTGGCTTCAGATCCTCAGCACCGAGAGACAAACAAGCATGAAGAACACCACAGAGCACTAAGTTCTGGCTCCGTGCTACAGCTCTTTCTGTCACGCCACTTACATATGTAGGAATGTGTAGACACATACACACACATACAGGTTCGTAAACACACAAACATGTAACACATATGACATACATAGAAATACATGTATCATACAAAACAAGCTCCATGATTTTCTGTGGGCTTACCCCTTATTTTTCTTCTACTGAAAGTAGAATTTTTTCTTCATACAAAATATTATGATTATGGTTTCCCCTCCCCAACCCCCTGAGATCTTTCCCACCTCTCCTCCAGTCAGAATCCACACCTTTTCTGTCTCTCCTTAGAAACCAAATAAAGAATAATAATAAAACAAAAAAGATAAAACAAAAACAAACAAACCAGAATAGGACAAAATAAGTGAACAAACAAACAGGTGAAGAAGAGCTAAGGAAAACATAGGAGAAACACATATAGATGGAGATACACACGGTAACACAGAAATCCCATAAAAACTCAAAACCGGAAGTCGTAAACGCTCTGACCAAACGTTATGAGGAAGAACCTCCAACCAAAGATGCTGAGGTCATTTCGTGTTAGCTATCTATTGCTGGGCATGGGCTCGCAGTGTGGGCTTTATGAGTCACTTCAGTTTGTTTTGGCCTTTTCTTTTTGTCTTACTGGTTTTTTAATTTGGTTATTTTGATTTTCAGGTTTTTTAAAGATTTATTTATTTATTGTGTACACAGTGTTCAGCCTCCTTGTATGCCTGCAGGCCAGAAGAGGGTACCAGATCTCATTACAGATGGTTGTGAGCCACTATGTGGTTGCTGGGAATTGAACTCAGGACCTCCTGAAGATCAGCCAGTGTTCTTAACCTCTGAGCCATCTCTCCAGCCCCAGGTTTTTTAATTTTAATTTTATATTTTAAAAGAGAGAGCATAAAGTTTGATTGGTAAATTACGTGATAAGGAGAAGGGGAAAATGATCAAAATATATTCTATGGAAAAAATTTAAGTAAAAAATATAATATCCACCATACACTCACCATGCCTACTTGTAAACACACACGAACATATACTTGTGGCACACATTTATGCAGTTGAAAACACATACACATATACACACAAACAATACACACATATAAACACATATACATATATACAAACAATACACACATATAAACACATATACAAATCCAAACATGACACATACAATCCATAAAAATACAGTGTACCCCATTCATACACATACATGTAAACATGCATGCAAATGAACAGAAATGTACATACAAAGCCACTCACACATGCCTATGGTACACAAATATACACACAACATGTACAGAAACATAAGCTTTATGCACATATATAATACAATCACTACACACAGAATGCATACACCACACAGGCATGTAAGCACACATATACACAAACACAAATGTTTATAAACAGAGCATATCCTCAAATAAACACACACTTACAAGACGTACATATACACAAATGACATATACACACATGTGAAAACATACAAATCCAAACAAGACAAACACCACATACACACATGTAAACATACACACACACAGTGGGACTTACATCGGGACTGGCTGACAGGCAAGAATGGCTGTTTCCTGTCTCCTGTGGCATTGCACGCCCATGAAATTTCTGGCTCTTCTGGTGGGGCTGAGATAAGGATCTTTTGTAGATGGAACAGAACGGCCAGAAAAAGCTTTCCGCAGTGTAGGAGCCAATGGACTCTGCTCCCCTGTAAAGCCGATCCATCTTTCAAGCCATGTTTCATCAGCTCTGCATGCTCTGAGCTCAAGTACGGCCCTTCAAAGAGCAGCTCGCCCTGAGAGGAGAAACAGGAAGTGATCAGAAACACAAGCCAGACTCTTCCGCTGACAGGCTAGAAAAGGATTTTAAAGGAACATAGAGTCGTTCGTGGTGGTTAATTTCATCCTGATCCAGGTAACAAAGTTTTAGAATTAGGAAGCTGCAGATCTCCGGGAAGCTAGTGTCAGGGACAGGACCCCCTGATCCACCTTTGGACGTGATCCACCATTTGGAGCTTAGCAGAGTGACCCTACAGATTCAGAACTGGACAAGCAGCCACTGTCCCTCCCCTCCCCTAGTCCTTCTTCTAAATATCTTTTCTTGGAACTGTTAAGTTTTAAACCTGGGACAAATGACTGAGGTGCCTATTTAACTATCAAAGTGGACCTGGCCTCGAGGTTCTCCCAGCATCCCTCAGTCCTGCGCTGTTATAGGATATGGCTGGCACACCCCACCCTCTACCCTGAACTCTCCAGCTAGCCCAGGGGCTGGGCTGCCCTCCCCAGAGGCTCTTCCCTATAGAATCCAGAAGTTTTGGCTGCTCTTCCCCAGAGGCTCTTCCTATAGAACCTAGATGTTTTGGCTGCCCTTCCCCAGAGGCTCTTCCTATAGAATCCAGAGGTTTCAGCTGCCCTTCCTCAAAGGTTCTTCCCTATAGAATCCAGACATTTTGGCTGCCCCTCTCCAGAGGCTCTTCCTATAAAATCCAGACGTTTTGGCTGCTCTCCCCAGAGGCTCTTCCCCATAGAATCCAGATGTTTTGGTGCCCTTTCCCTTTTGTTCCTTTGGCCTCCTGGCTGCTGCACCTGGTTAGCTCTCTGCCCTCTCCTTCCCCTCCCCTTCTCCTCACATGGCCCAACTCAGCCTGGTCACGTCCACTCTAGACTCGCCCAGATGTCCCTGTCGCTGACTCTGGCTATGCTCTCCCACATATCCATAATAAACTCTTCCCACCACACCTAGGAGCAGTCATGTCCTTTCCTTTCCTCTATTTCTTTCTTACATCCATCAGCAAGCTCCAAGTACTCATTCTTCCTAAGACCTCCATGTTTAGGGAGTCTTTTAAAGTTATCAGGCAGGTCTCAAGTTTTTGATCACCAATACGTTATTATAAATAATGTAATTAATTATTATAAAAACATAAGTAATACAACTTTTACTAGTTTGTGGAGACAGGCTTTCACTATATGAAGCTAGAACTCAGAGAGCTGCCTGCCTTTGTCTCCCAAATGCTGGAATCCACTGATTTAAAAGAATAAAGTTTATTTTTACTTGTGGGTATGGTGCATGTGTCTGTGGTGTGTTCTCGCGTGCTCACACACACACACACACACACACACACACACACACGAGTCTACACATATGAATACAGGTGACTGTGGAGGCAGAGGTGTTAGATTTGGGGCAAGCAGTATACATTTTTTCTTTTTCTTTTTTTTTTTTTTGTTTTTGCTTTTGTTTTCATTTTTGAGACAGAGTTTCTCTGTGCAGTCCTGACTATCTTGGAACTCACTCTATAGACCAGGCAGGCCATGAATCAGAGACTCACCTGCCTCTGCCTCCCAAGTCATAGGATTAAAGGTGTGCACACCACTGCCCAGCACAGCATACTCTCTTAGCTGCTGAGCCATCTCTTTAGCCCTCACTGAGTGCTGGGGGCAACTTTATTATAAAAGTAAAAGAAAAGAGAGCGACATAAAACCAGGGAGTTACTGACCTTGTATTTGAGAAACTGAGGCAGTGACAGGTGCAGTCTTGGGGGCTTTCATGGTGCTTGTAGGTGTTCTGGTTCAAAGCTTACCCTTCGCACACATCATTCTTGAAGACAGTTGCTTACGAATGTAGGGGGTGCGTTTTATCAACTAAAAATGGAGGTACAAATAGACCAAAGCATTTCCCCAAAATCTGTTCACAGTGTGTTAGTGCATATGACATTTCCCTGACCCTGAGCTTTGCATGCTGTTAACCATTTTAAAGCTTTTATGCACAAAGGGTTTTTTTAAAATGTGCTATGAGTTTTTTGGTGGCAAACACATCTTCTATGACTTTGATAAGTCTCTCTGTTGCTCACCATCCCTAGGGTGGGGCCAGCTACAGTACGAGATAGATTAATGATGGACAAAGACAATCAGTTGAGGGGCTGGAGAGATGGCTCAGTGGTTAAAGAACACTGACTGCTCTTCCAGAGGATTCGGGTTCAATTCCCAGCTCCCACATGGCAGCTCACAACTGTGTGTAACTCTAGGATCTGACATCCTCACACAGACAGACATGCAGGCAAAACACTAAAGCAAATAAAATAAAAGATAAATTATGAAAAGAAAAATGTTTAAAAAAAGAAAATCAGACATTGTGTGTGTGTATGTATACATATGAGCATGCATTGCTACAGCAATACATGTGTGGAGATCAGAGGATGGCTTTGCAGCTGAACTTAGGTTGCAAGGCATTTGATTTCCAGCTTCACTATTTTATAATCACAGCACAGCCCCTGGTGCACGGGGGATCTGGCAGCGTGCATTTCTGCATACGATGCCGTTCACACCTCATGCAAAGCCCCCGCAAAATCAGCAGCCCCCTTTCCATATCCTCCATGAAAAGGCCAGCTGTCGGCTCATCTGTCATCAACCTTCCTTCATCTGGAAGTTTGGGGTTCTGAGGAAGGTTTTGTTTTCTTCTGAGATCTCCACAGACACCAGAACATGTGCATACCCACATACACACACAGGAAAAAATAAACATGAAAAAACGAGAAAACACAAAACCCTATAACTGCAGAGGAAGGGTCAGTGGGAGCTTGTGGCATCCTAGCAACCCGAGTTCAGTACTTGGAATGCATGGACAGGTGGAAGGACAGAGTCACCTGCACAAAGATCACCTCTGACTGTCGCACGGGTGCTGTGTCAAATGCAGGTGTTTGTCCTCTGCCTCAGACATAAGATAAGTAAATAGATGTAAAAGAATGTGCTTAAATCAAGAATTGAGGCATGCTGAGAAGGAAAAAAAGTCTTCTTTCAGTTCTGACAGTTACTGTTCTCCGCAAGACTGCTTTGAGTTGCTCAGATCTATGGCAGATCAGGCCAGAGATAAATTTGTTTCTGTAGCATAATTGAGCCCAACCTGGCACACGCAGGATATAAATGCTGTATTCTGACGTCATGCTCTCTCCAACCTTCACTCCCTAGTCCTTGATGGCTTCATTCTTTCTGGAAGAACTTTCCTTGGGCTTTGGTTTAGAGTGGACATTTGGGGACCCCGGGGACTGAAATCAGGTGCTTTTATTCCAATGTTTGTATTTTACCAGGAACTGAGGAACTAGCGCTACTGAGCAGAGAATACTTTAGTCTCCCTATTGAATCTCTGGACTCAGTCACAACTAAGAGGAAATGTAGGCTCAGGGATCACTCAGGAGACCGACCTTCCCCTTCGAGATTACAGTTCACAGTTCCATCTCAACATAAAGTCCTTCTTTCTAACTTTCTTTTCCTCCTTCCCATCCTTTCTCCCACCCTCAATCCATCCCTCCCACCCACCCTCCCTCACACCCTCAAACACACTCTCTCTCTCTCTCTCTCTCTCTCTCTCTCTCTCTCTCTCTCTCTCTCTCTCACTCTCTCTATCTCTTTCTTCCCTTTATCCAGAGTCAAGGTTAATTCACATGGCCCAAACTGGCCTTGAACTTGTCATCTTCCTGCCCTACCCTTTTGGGTGCTGGGACTGCAGACATGAACCACTGTGCCCAGGGTTATGCTGGTCTTTTTGTTTGTGTCTAACTATTGTGTGTTAACCTTCACCTCCTGAAAACTAAAGACTCTTTGTTCAGTTCTCTTAAACACCTTCTGTTTGTGCAGAAGGTAGTCCAGTCTTTCTCATTATCTTGTTCTATGAACACAGCTGTGTTTCAGAGCCTAGATGCCTGTTTGCTAACTAACAGGTGGAAGACAAAAGGAGCAGACGTTGTCGATAACAGTGATGGTGTTGAACATTCCATCCAGCTCTGGGGTTTTCGGAGAAAAAGTCACATTTGCACATAAACGGCTCTTAAGAAAGCATTGTGGTTTATCGGAAGAGTGGTGACTGTAAGCACAGCCCCCATTCCGTAGCCTTTGCTGTACATCCGGCCAGCTTTAAGGACTGTATTTGGGTTAACTCACTTCACCCTCAGCCATCCATTGAGGAGGAAACTTTTCTGCTCTCAGCCTAACAGGTGAAGACACAGGCACAGAGGCTGAGCTTTCTATAAACTACCTCGGGGCTGCTCTGACTGAGAACAAGGCAGAAATAACTAAAGGAGGAAGTAGTTATTTATGTCAGAATGTAATGTTAGTACCCAGGGCAGACTGCCGTTCAGGTAACCACACCAGGCCCCGCTAACAGATGCGGCCTGGTGCACCCTGAGGCCTTGTCCAGGAATCTCCAGCTAATAGTCTTTCTCACCTGGGGAGGAAGAGTCTGCATCAAAGGGGCTTTTGATGGCCTCACATTCTGCCCTCCACTCCCTTTCCTGCCTGGGACTCAGTCAGACCGTAGGGTCCTGCCGTGAAACAGCCCCTCATGCTCAGAAAACTCTAAGAGATTCCACTTCTTCCTCACAGACCCTGAGTCTTCTCTTCAGTGTCCCCGCGGCCATGCTGTTGTCTGTCTGTCTGTCTGTGTGTTGGTGTCCTAATGACTCTTCCAGTAAACTCTTTAGCACCCAACAACCCATCTTACCATCCATATTGGACTTGAGACCAAGACCTTTCAAGGTTGTTTCCCGGCTTCAGAGGGTTTGGGATGGAATTCTCAGACAGAGACACAAGACATGGAGGATTCTCTGATGGGAAGCGGATTTATTTGTGCTGATTCATTCTAAGAGGATTCATGGCTGAAGGCCGAGCCCTGAGCGCAAGGCTTTGTCTCGTATACATTTTTAACCCCTTTCCCCATTATAAAGTAATGTGCATTCTCACTGGGTGTTTATGGCAGAAGCTGACAAGATGGTGATGTGCTAGCACTGCCATGGTACTGTAGCA